TGTAGTTTTAGTTTAAAAAATAATATATAGTTATTAGAAAATTATTATAAGAAATCCATAACTCGTTTATACATATAAATTTTGTAATTATTTTGTATATAAATGTATCACACTCGTGAAATAATTGAAAACAACAAATTTTAGTTTTTTTGTCAATATATATCACTTATTAGTAAAAATGTATTTTCATTTAATTTTTAATCTTTAAAAATACGGTTTATGACTCAAATATATAAAATAAAAGATCACAAATATGAATTGAATCTTATAGGTTTAGCATAATTATAAGAGTGATAATGTAGTTTTTAAAATACAAATTTGGATTTAATTAATTGTTTATAAATAGTTTTAGGTGCTATCCTAATAGAAATCTAAAATTTTATTGAGAAATTTCAAAAAATACCACTTTTCAAGTGCCACTTTACAAAAATACCACATTTTTGAAATCTTTACAAAAATGCCACTTTTTCAAAATTATTTTTTTCTTTATATTATTTATGTTTGGGTTAATTATGTTCTATTAGGGTTTAGTTTTGAGTGTTAATGGGGTTTTAGGTGTCAAAATATTTTAGGGTTTAGAATTCTAAGATATAGGCTTTATAAATCTATAATTAGTGGCATTTTTGTAAATGGACACTCCTAAGTGGCATTCTTGCAAATGTACACACAAAAAGTGGCATTTTTGTAATTGCCCCAATTTTATTTTATATATATAAATTTTACAATTTTGTGTTATACCCGTGATTTTTTTTTTAAATAATGTTTTAGTCATTTTATATCACTTATTAATAAAATGTATTTGTTTAATATTATAATCTTCAAAATATGGTTTATGATTCAAATATATAAAATAGAAGATTACAAATATAAATTGAATCATATTTAGGGTAATTATAGGAATAGTAATATTTTTTAATAATTTAATATTAAGGATTAATATTACAATATTTGAATAACTAATTTAGGCATGTTTATAAATATTCTAATGTGTTTGACAACTGAGATTATAATTATTTTAATCTTAAATGTGTTTGCTAATTAGATAATATTTTAATTAACATTTTCATATTTAAATTTAATGAAATTAATTATGTTTGGCTATAGAGATTGTATTATGAAAAATGTTTGGTTAATATGATAGTAGTCATAAAGAGTGTTTGGCTAGTAAAATAGTAAGAATTATTATAGAATTTAAATTATTTAAAAAAACTGAAAAAATTATGGTGTTGACACATCAGCCAAATTGTCCTCCCAATATTTTTCCTTTAATATATAAAATATATTAATTGGAATTGTTTCAAAACTAAGCATTAACCAAAACAAGTTTACTGGTAAATCTATTTGGCATTTCACCAAAATTAAGATTCTGTTTTAAAAGAGTGAACCAGAAAGAAATCATATACATTCTAAAATCTATGTAACAAAAATTAACAATATCAATACCAATATAAAAGAAACAACCAAACTATAGCCAACAAATACTTAAAAAAACCATATTCTTTTTATATACATCTCCACTAATTAACAGTTCATCCAAACATATATATTAACTATATATAGGCAGAAAACATATTTATAAATAATACATTTTGGTTATTTCTTTTTATATACACCCAAAACAAAAGAAGAAGATGACATGCAATATTGCTTCGGCATTCAAGGCTTTATGTTTGTCTCTCTTGTTCGTCGCCGTTGCAAGTCGTCCGACCTTCAGGCCAAAAGTTTTCAACGTCCAAAGTTATGGTGCTAAACCTGATGGCAAAACTGATAATGCAAACGTATGTACATAACAATTTTTGTTTTTAAAACTTTCAACTTTCAGTTCTGCTATAGTCTTCATAAAGATAAAACTTTGCTCAATTCAATACCGAAATTCTCATAAAATTAAAACTTAACAAAACATTTTGATAGGAAAAATATATTGGTATTGTATTGGTATTAGGCGCGAGTTTGGTTTCTTTTGATTTTCTTGTGCTGTTTTCCTATATTTTATACCTATATCATGTATAACGTATATTGGTAAATATTTATGTTAGTATATAAGTATATTTTTTACATTCATTAACACATTCTAATATTTATTTAAAATCTTATATCATATGGTTAATATAAGATTTTAAATAAATACTTTTTAGGTTTTGAGAACTTATTATTATATTTTTTATTGCAATATAACTCCATCCAAATCTTCAAACATATTCTAACTATAATCGTGCAACGCATAGATCAATATATTTACTTTTGTCATTTTTTCGTAAGACATTAATATATAGAAAGTTAATTTATACATATTTTTTTTTACGTATTGTTAAACACTTTAGAATTATATTTTCTAGATTTTTTGGGTTAAAAGCATTGGTTGAAATATTAAATGATTAAATATGTATTTTTCTTGGATTGTGGTGTAGAACTACGTACATTTTTACATAAATATCATATATCATTGCCCATATATTTTGTTATACAATTTATGAATAATGTCACCATTAATTTTTTACTTTATATGTATCAAAACTTAAGATTTTTATACGGATAATTGTAAAAATTCCACTTTTGGTGTGCCACTAATACAACATAGTTAATCCAAACATAAATGATATAATGAGTAAATAATTTTGAAAAAGTGGTTTTTGTAAAGATTTTGAAAAAATGGCATTTTTGAAAAGTATCATTTCTCAAAATTTATCTTTTTTTATATTTATTTTAAATTGTGGTATACAACGTTTTCAATATTTTTCTTTTCTACTTCCAAAAAAAACTCAAATATAATATTTTGAATAAAATCTTATATTTTAAAAATTTTCATTATTTTCTCATCTTTAGTGAAATTGTTTAATATCCTTTTTTGAATAAAATCTTTTTATCATCTATTAGTGAAAATTAATTTCTCAAAATTTCTTTTAATGAAATCATATATCCTCTTTTTTTTTTTAAAACCTTCAACCTCCTGACAATCGGTTGAATCACAATTACGATGATTCAATAAATAACAAAAAAAAAATTTCTGTTTCATTTACATTTTAATATATAAGCTCTTAATATTTTGATTACTTTCTAATGAACTACAATATAAATAAATATATTCATTATTGTAATTTTTATTTAAAAAATAAAATATTCAAATAATCCTAAAATATGGTTCGCCGTGATACATGAGTTATACAATTTTATTAAACTTAAAGACAAAAATTTGATTTAACCATTTACAATTTTATGCTACTTTTAATCATTCATTTACTTATTTTTAGTAGAATATAACTCGCGCAATGTGCGATTTTTTTCTTACACTAATTTATACCTCTTATATCTTTCAAATATATAACACTTTAAATTTTTCTTTCATACTTCTATAATATTCAAATATGACATTATGAACAAAATCGTATATTCCAAATTTTCATCTTATTATCTCATCTTTAATAATATATATTCTTTCTCTTTAGATCAACATCTCTTAACAATCGTTTGACACTCA